GTGCCGAATTCAGGAGTCGGACTTTTCTGAATTCGGCGCTATTTCTGAAAATAAGTACTGCATGGCCACTTGACCTTATCCAATATTCGCCGCCATTTTCGAAAATATTTGATGCACCTCCAATTACCTCTGGGGCAATGCATACCGGTTTAAATATCTCTATAGGGGAATGAAAGGGCATCATGAAAGATCGTGTTAAAATGTACTTGTACCGTACTTTGAAAGTACATTCTATTCATAGTACTTTACTTCAAGTACAGTCTTTTCAAAAGTTTACAACCCATCTGCGAGACTCTTGAGAGCGAGGGGGAACTTCCCTCTCGCATCCCGCTCGCCTTGAGAAAAAAGGGGTGCAAAACAGCGAGAGCGAAGTTCCCCTTGCTTTCAAAACTCGATTAGTGTCGTGATGTAGGCGAGTTGGTTCATGGTAACGGAAATAAACAGCGCGCAAAAAATACACAAGGACGAAAGGAAGGTGCGAACGACACAAGCGCTGATGTCGTTCGCACCTTCCTTTCGTCCTTGTGTATTTTTTTGCGCGCTGTTTATTTCCGTTTCAAAACTCTCGCCGCCAGAGAGCGCTGACTACAAGAGCGCCGCTGCAAGGGAGCGAGCCCGCTGCGGCCACGCGCGCGGTGGGCTCTAAACTTTTGAAAAAGATTGTACAATGCACCCGGTGTACTCAGTACTTTATTTGAGTACATCAGATTTTATTTCTTTTGCACTGTACTTCAAGTACTTTTTAGATGTACTTCACCCAACACTGCGTGGAGGTGTACTCGTCCACGTCTGCGTGATAAAAGCCTAAAATGTAAACGGTTTCTTTTTTATATTAGTCAAAATTGCCCGCTTAATTGCTTAAAAAATTAATCCCGATTAAGGCATTAATTTATTAATCGGTAGGTTAATCGATTAAATGCCCAGTCCTAATATATATAAAGTGAAAAGAATCAGAACATGATATATATAAAAAAAAAAACGAGCAGTGCTTCTTCAAGACTCTCACCAGTGTTAGACTTACCTTGCTACTGCCCGCCTCAGAGAAGGACAAAGTGCAATGCACGGTTCGCTAAGATCTAGCCCTTTATTCCACAGATCCCGAAAAGGCAACGCGCTTCGCACCCATCCTTCTGGAATATTCGCAGCTGCTCTATAATTTTTAATAGATATACCTTCATTTTATTCTAACTGCTCATGCACAGCTGCGAAGGTAGATTTTGTTTTATCGTTCAAAACACATCCACACGTTCGAAATCTTTCAAAAATAGGGGAAATTCAGAAAACCTCGGTGCCCGATACGGTCACTCCTGCTCAATAAAGATTCCGCCTTCACCTTGTCTCACACCCAGTAAAGAGGCGGACCCCGAGTAATCTTATTGACATCCAGGCAAAACGTACACTTCAAAAAGGAGGAACGAACTTATCAGTTCGATATAGTGATCCCTTACAAACAAATTAAACGTGTTTCAACTGAAATTGTAAAGTATTCACTCAATACACCGCGTTAAGTCTCAATTGAAACTCAAGGTTTGTATGTTTTTATTTTGACTGCCTATAGAACCGCCACCGAGTTTTCTTTAAATTTTTAGCATTTGCATTTTATTTGAATTTTAGAAATAGTGTTTCAATCGAATTTCTGCAATTGAGTTTCTACTATTTTTTTTTCAATTGAGTTTCAATAGAATTTGTAACTGTCTTTCAATATATTTTTTTGCAACAGCGTTCAAAAAATATTTTGCAACTTGTTAGGAATTTTATCTTATAATTCCTTAAAGAATGGAGGAAACGAAGCACATGAAGGAAACGAACACAAACATCATAAAGCACTCAAAACACACAAATCACACTTCCCTTAACTACCCCACCACCTTATACACCCTACACATGAAAGGTAGTCATTTGGCCGGTCACCACCTGAGCCTTTATTAAGGTTCCCAGTATGCGATCCCCTCCTCGGAAGTAAAGATATACAGTGTCTCGCCGTCATTTGAATCTATCCCTTACTAAAACATCATGAGCCATTGCACTTTGGGAAGGTGGATGACCAGCGAAGCTGTTTAGCACACGACACAGAGCCGCCCCGAGGAGCCAGAGGAAATTAGACACGCGCGACGGGAACGCCACCCCGAGAGCGGAAGGAAAAGAAACGAGGCACGCAAGCGCTTAAAACGACGACAAAGAGAGGGCGGTGCGAGCGTAGACGTGGCCGACGCTGGTGGCACAGCGGCAGATCTTTGAGAAACCTCTCTTATGTACCTGAGAGTTTACTGATATTGAAAATGGTGCCTATAGGGAGTATTCACTGGACGCCATATTTGTGGGTGCTGTTTAGAGCGCATGCTCAGAACGAGCTCACATCAATAGGCTGCTAAGATCGACACTCTTGATGGTGCGGAATGCACGTTGCAAAAGAACTGTGGAAGCTCGCCGTCAGCACGCGCTCAGCATTCGCGCACACAGCTATGGCCGCCAGTGAATAATCCCTATGCGGAGGGCAAGTTCGTCTGCTTCTCGCGCAGGGGGTAGCGGTGACGTCAGAACGCCGAGCCCTGATTGGCTGATGGGGCCCCCCTATCTGAGCGTCGTCTGCTCCTTTGCAACGTCGTCTGCTCGCAACGTCGTCTGCGTCTGTCTTACCTTTCCTGCGACTTTCGGAAGTGCAGAGCAATCTTACGCCAAAAATGTGCGTAATACATAACTTAAGAACAAATTCGTATTCACGGAACGAAATTTTCGTAAGTTTTGCGCAGGTTACGACGAAATCCTACGACAGCTCTAAAGCTGTCTTACGCACTTCTTACGAACAAATCAGCATGGCCGACAGCGTCGCGGTCGCGACGACCCACGGACGTTTATTTTCTACGTGCGCTTCTCACGCGTCCCGACTTCAAGCAGCAAGAAAAAAGTAAAAAGTACTTGCAACAGACCACGACGAACAAGAACGCTGGATCCACAAACACCCGGGATAAGCTCCAACGGCCATGATTCCACCGAACGCGACCAAGCGAGCACGGCAGTTAGGCCTAGCAGGCACTCCGTGACTCGGCGACCGTCTGCCCACGACCGGCTGGCGTGCTGAATAGAATATGCCCGCGCGACCCTTGTGAACCCTTCCCGTATTATACTTTGATCGCTGACCTCAGTTTTAGATTAAGAGGTCAATTTCTTCCTCTTGTTATGTCCTTGTTTCCCGAGGCAACGGTGACTCTCGCCGGTGAAAAAGCGGTGAATCTCCGACAGACGCAGGAAACGTAAAGCAGCCATTGCTTTGACTAGCAGACGTAAAGCAGACGACGTTAACTGCGCCAACCCGCCGACGCCGTTAAAGAATGAGGGGTCTCGCCGCACACGAAAGGAGGGAAAAAGTATTTGGGAGGGAACTTGGTACACTAACACGCTCACTCTCGGTTCTTCAAACAAACCTCGGCGCCTCGGGACACCTCGCCAGTGAGTCCTTTGACTTCCCTCCTTGATGCACGTCTGCTAGTTGTTAGACAAAAACAACGTACCGCTCGAGTTATTTCGTCTGCCCTCTCTGAAAGGTGAAGTCGAGCTCGCTCGTAATTTCCGAAAGTCGCAGGAAAGGTAAGACAGACGCAGACGACGTTGCGAGCAGACGACGTTACAAAGGAGCAGACGACACTCAGATAGGGGGGTCGCGATCAGCCAATCAGGGCTCGGCGTTCTGACGTCACCGCTACTTCCTTTCTCATGCGCAGAAGACGAAAATGAGCCCACTTGCGAGGCGTATTGATAACTAATCTACTGAATAGGCCTATTGTTAAATTACCCAAGCATCAATGAGAATGCAGGGAACGGTGTTCCACGCACGTGCCGACGTTTGCAGCAGTAACTGTTCTAAGGCAAAAGCCTAAAGCAAATGGCATCTTGCACGCGCGTTCATCAACGCTTTATTTTGGTTATTTACTTGCAATCTTTTATACGGGGAAAGCGTGCGCGTACGGCGAGTGCGGCGGTACAAGCGTACAGTTTTTGGTCACGCACAGGAAAACTTCACGGAACCCTATCTATAAACAGCTTCGCTGTGAAACATTGGTACAAGCAATAATCGTTGGGTGTGCAGTCGCTAAATCCGCAAAAGCGACCCTATAGCAGGCATGATATCGCTTCTCTGCATAACGCCACTCAGGACAAGACGAGGCGCGGTAGTTGCTCGCTTTAAAATGTATTATGCCTTTTTCTTTTTACGAAGCGACTATTATAATAGGCTCAATGATGTCAGTATTAGCGACGTGCGAGACCAAAAGCGCCGCTGCGGTGAGCTTTCCAGGACTGGCCAAACCACGAGCATGAGAGCATTGTCAGATCGTCAGCCTCGACGGCGTTAGTTTCGGAATGCGATGGCTCCTAGCTTCCACTGTGCTTCTTAAACACACCAACAGCTTGTCGTGGCAACCGATGGTAAGTAGCCAGGGTAACCACTTAATTTTGACGTCACGGCCAGGCAAATCCTGGTCGTGACATCACGGATAGAAACCATAAGAGGGCCCCAGCAGCACGGACTTTGGCCAAGCATTGACCACTGGCTGGCGATGGTCTTTTGGCCAATGGCCAAAGAGTGGCCATTCATCAGCCAATGTTTGGCCGATGGCTGATGGCCAATGGCCAGAGAAGGGCCAGTCATTGGCCAATGGCTGGCCACTGGCCAAGAGACCATTGCAAGCATTGGCCAATGATTTGCCAAATCTGTGCTGCTTGGGGCGCGATCAAACCATCTCGGCGCTAATAGCAGAGTGAGAACGGCATGGCGTGTTTTTCAAACACCCGGCCTTCAGCACGCGCTCCATGCCTTCCACCATGCTTTGACAGCTCGCGCGCTTGATTTGCACGAGACGTTGAAGTGTTTTCGAGGGGAGACAAGTGAAACTTCTCGCTGTTGTTCTCACCTTGTCAGTGACCTAAGAGTTATTATGGTGCACGCTATATATGCTCTCGAAGGTGTCAAACATTTTGGATTCAAGTTCTAGCCCAAATGAATCTGAGCGAATGTGTTTATTCTGAGAGACATACGTGCACTCATGGTTATTTGCAGCTGTGCCCTTGCTGGGCTCCTCTATAGCAAAGGGCGCAAACCAGCTTATGTAAACTACTCAAGAACAGAAACTCGTTTGAATCTCCAAAGGGGAGACAAAGAAAAGTCTAAGTCAGTGGTTCTCAACCATCGATGTTTCGCGAACCCCTTGTGGATAGGCGGGGATGATGGAGAGCCCCGTTCGTGGCGAGAAGAGAGGAAAGGTATAGGATAAATATAATATTGATTTAGTAAATGGTTATGACTAAGGGCTAGTGTGAAGTAGACCTCTCTTATTGACGCACACGAGAAAACTGGCCCAAAAACTGAAACATTTCATCTCAACCGCAAAACAAAAAGACAACTTTTATTGCCGGGCTTGACTGATGTGGCAGGACCTCGCGGACCCCTAGAATGCCTTCGCGGACCCCCATTTGAGAGCCACTGGTCTAAGTAATAAAACTCAAGAGCATGTCCAATGACTATAAGCTCAAAACTATGAATGAAAAAATTCATTTATATATCTAATGAGCAAACCTAAAATAAACAATATTGAGGTCTTAAAGGACTTCTGAAAAGAAAAAAAGAAGTTTGTTTTAAGGGTGGTTGGAACACGCGCGTTAAAAAGGTAATACTACGCGAAAAAATTTTTTAGCAATAGTGACGGCGCGAGACTCGATTTAGTCGGCAGTCACCTCCTTTCCACATGTTTTCTCTCTAGGCATTTCGGCCGCGTGGAGGAAAGGTGTATCGGATTCGCCTTCACGACCGAGATGGTCATTCCGGAATGACCCGTGACGTCATGGACTTCGCGCGCGCAGAACTTCAAATAAACCTCTTGCCGTTAACATTGCTCTAATTTGTTTTTCTTTAAGCGTAAAATTTATTTCTTGACACGCGTGTCCCAACCAGACTGTTAAAAAACGTTTCTTTTTTTTTACGGGGCTTTTTTAATAATGAAACTCATTTGCTAATGTAAGTAAATTCAATATAATCCATATTAACTTCATAATGAGCAAACTCAATTGCATTCTTAATAAGTAGGTGAATTAAAATGAATGGATATTGAGTTCTAGATGAGCAAACTCAATCGAATCGTTAATCAGTAAATTCAAAAGAATATAGATTGCATTCGTAATGAACAAACTCAATTTCATTCTTAACGAGTAAGTTCCAAAGAATATATATTGAGTTTATTTATTAATTTATTTTCGTACCCTCAAGGTCCTGGTGCATTCCAGAGGGGAGTGGGACACGACAAATGTGGAATACAAACAATATACAAACACATACAAAGCCAAGCACTAGAAACGTAAAAAAAAGTGCATCAACTTTAGAAGTTATAGAACAAAAAAAGCAAACAGAAAAATATTAACCTAGGTAAGCAGTCGCCGCACTTTCAAATAAGTCAAAAGACGGCATGTTTACCATTTGCGCGGGAAGGTGGTTCACTCTGAAGATGTTCCGGGAATGAAAGAGTTACTATAGGCTGAGGTAATGCAATGAAGAATTCCGACTTTAAATTGATTATCTACGCGCGGTACGATGAAAACGGGCATTAATATTAGATTGTTATTTAGTAAAGTATTGGAATGGTAAATTTTAAAAGAGATACAAACAAGCTATTTTTCGGCGTAATGAAAGAACAAGAAGTGATAAACTATCTGGCGATTCAAGGAAAAGCCAGGCTCTTTAAATCGACCGCAAAATTCGGTTTCTTAACCTATCGCGTTCCGATTTTGTAGAGCGTTGGCCACAGGTGGTGCATTTTTTCTATACAATTCCCGAAGACCGAGCTTACCCGAGGAAAAAGTAAAAAAAGAGAAAGGCTTAACTCCTATGGAAAACGCAGCGAAGCCACCGGTCTTCAAACCATAGGGCGCCCTATGGTTTGAAGACCGGTGGCTTCGCTGCGTTTTCCATAGGAGTTAAGCCTTTCTCTTTTTTTACTTTTTCCTCGGGTAAGCTCGGTCTTCGGGAATTGTATAGAAAAAATGCACCACCTGTTGCCAACGCTCTACAAAATCGGAACGCGATAGGTTAAGAAACCGAATTTTGCGGTCGATTTAAAGAGCCTGGCCGCTCCTTCATATCACCCAGTAGTTTTCATTGTAGATACACTAGATGTGCGATGATAGTAAATATAATACCGAGTTCTTAATTACCGAACTCAATTGCATTCCTAATGAGTCAATTCAACAGAAACGATATTGACTTTCTTGTGACCAAACTAAATTGCATTTCTAATGAGTCAATTCAATAGAATCGATATTGAGTTTTTTTGTGACCAAACTCAATTGCATCCCTAACGAGTACTCTTCAATACAATCGATATTGAGATTTTTATGATCAAACACATTACACGTGGACTTTATATTTAATTTCAACCGACTCTATAGAAATACATTAGAAACACAAGTGAAACTTGTTTAACATTTTTGTGAGGGATGTCTCGTTAATACCTCGATGTACCCCGCTACATAGAAAAGACGTTAGGGGACGAATTAAACGTGCATTTTTATCCCGTTATTATGGACATTAGACAATATTTTGGAGGAACTGTGGTCACCATACTAATGAGACGCGACTGTACAGTGATTCCTTAACTGGAATGAATGCGCGAACCGCCAACTAACTCGAAGGCTCCTTTGTGCGTGAATCAGTCCGCCGCCAGCAGACCGCACGGCCGATTGTTTCCTCGGCGTGCCTCAGAGCGGCTTCTTGGCCTGTTGGCGCAGGCTGGCCTGCCGCGCCACCAGCCGGTAGAAGTGCAGCAAGTAGCAGGCGCCCACCAGACGCAGCGCGCCCATGCAGACCACCTGGACGACCAGGTCCAGCAGCGAGTTGGGCGGCATCATACCGGCGCACATGTTCAGCATCACCATGCCGTCGAGGCCCAGCACGGACACGAAGTGCCCCCTCAACGCGTCGTCCAGGATGGACCTGGCCACGGTTTCCGGCGAGTGCAGGCCCCCGCTGGCGCAGATGAGCTTCGTCTCGATGGGCTTGGTGCGCTGCTCCTCCGCGAAGCCCGGAGTGTCCGTGTCCGGAGGGAAGGCCACCGTGACGCTGACGCCCCTGTGGCGCACCTCCATGCAGAGCGACTGGGCCAGCCCGACCAGCGCAAATTTGGACGCGGCGTAGGCCGAGAAGCCGTACACTCCGAACACGCCGGCAATGGACGACACAAGCACGATGGCCCCGTGGCCTCGCTGCCGCATGCCCGGCAGCACGGCCTTGGTGGCGTGCACGGCGCTCAGGTAGTTCAGCTCCATCATGCGCCGGAACTCGGCCGCGGGCGTCTCCTCGAAGCGCAAGCTGGTGGCGCTGCCGGCGCAGTTCACCAGGAAGTCGACGGGGCCGCAGGCTTCCTCGGCCTCTTGCAGCTGGCCCGCCAGCGCGCTCGAGTCCTGGCAGAGGTCCGCCGACACCGTGTGCACCACCTGGTCGGGAAAGGCCGTCTGGTCCTGGAGCTCGAGCCTCGCTTCCTCCAGGCGGGTCCGGTCGCGGGCGAGCAGCGTCACGTTGGCGCCGCGGCGCACTACCTGAGAGGGGTCCGTTTCAAGGAAACACATTTCGTGGGCAACTTTTTACTGGACACTCGTTTTGTGAACACGCTCAACTGCAACGTTTCGCCAACAACATCTTTTTTCTTTTTTTTCACTAAGTGAATTGGGTTGATTACTGGCTTCACTTCGCTCGCTGGAAGCATACCGGAAGTAAAGCGAACTCACCCAGGCGGCTCCAATCACACACACACACAAAAAAAAGAAAAAAATTGCGATCCTTAATCCTAAACATTCAAACAGCCCGGGCTACGCGCGGACACCCCTCGAATTTGCTTGGGAAACTTTAATATAATCTCAGGCCCGAGCTTGCACCCGGCCTCATTGGGGCCACCAGGGGTTTGGTTCGCTAGGCTACCATCTGGTAATGACCCTCTCTATCGGCGATGAAATGTCTCGATGGCGCCACCTGGCGTGCGCTCTCCTGTGACGTACAGAGTGGGATTCGAGCGGACGACGCGCCAAGTAATCGCACAGAGTGGCTATTTTAGTTCACTTCAATGTCAATTGAAGCGAACTAACATCAAAGTTAAACATCGTTCACTGATGAAGTAAATTACTGTAACTAAAGCAATTGCCCTTTTATAATGGTAATAAAGGTGCTACTATACGGTACGACCCAAATAAAAAACGTGATGCATGTTATGTTTTGTTTATTTTGTAATTTTTTAAAAATATGCACGACGTGTTGAAGAGTTTTTTTTTTTTTCCATGTCCCTTCACGGTTCTTTCCAGGCCCCTTTTAAAAAAGTACAATCTTCAAAATGTTCAAAAACAAGAAGAGTTCGGCATTTTCGGTTAACCTCACTCACCCTCACGGCCGCACTCAACTTCAAGTCCTCACTCAAGAAAACTCATTAACTCACCGAACTCATGAACTCATCGAACTCACGCCCCTCACTGAACTCACAAACTCACGCTAACAAGCCCGGCATTTCGGGCGTACTCGAGCACGAAGACTACAACTTGAACAAACAAGTATAAAGGCGATTTACAACAGTTGCCAGCCGACTTTCATTTTAATATTGGCTTCGGGATTAGCGACCGTGCATAACGCGAGCCTACACGAAATAGCAACGTCTGCCTTCAGGCGTGCCAGCGTAGCGCCCGTTCTCCTTCTTCAAGAAACAAAACGCCGCGCGTATATCGGTGCCTCGGAGTCTACACGAGAGCGACCGAAGCGAGAGGGAGAGCCCTGCCCACTCCCTCGTCAGCGCGCCACAAAGCAGCATCCAGCGGCAAAAGACCACGCCAAGCCACCGCGACGCGAGCCAGAGTTGTAGAGCGCAGATAAATCAATAGGCGCCTTTCCTTCTTTCCCATCACTGGTAGAGAACCAGCCGTACGAGCTAACAGCGCCATTGCGAAGCGAGGGTGGACTCAATTCTTCCTGAAATGAACAAAGAAGTCACCATGGTCCGCCCTTCCTCAACCTCGCCCGCAAACCCCCATGGACCCTCGGGACCTCATGCCTCGCCAAACGCATGAACTCGCCGACCTCATGACCTCACGCCCCTCCCTTAACTCATGAACTCACCGACCTCACAAACTCACGACCCTCACCGAATTCACACCCCTTACTGAACTAATGACTTACCTACCTCACAGTCATGCCTCTTACCGAAATCATGGACTAACGCTCCTCACTAAACTCATGAACTCACCGACCTCACAAACTCACGCCCCTCACCGAATTCACACCCCTTACTTAACTAATGACTTACCTATCTCACAAAGTCATGCCTCTTACCGAATGCATGAACTCACGCCCCTCACTAAACTAATGACTCACTGACCTCACAAACTCACGCCCCTCGCCAAATTCATGAACTCACGCCCCTCACTGAACTCATGAACTCATCCAACTCACAAACGTCACGCCCATCACCAAATTGACGAACTCACGCCCCTCACTGAACTAATGACTCACCGACCTCAAACTCACGCCCCTCACCAAATTCATGAACTCACGCCCCTCACTGAACTAATGACTCACCGACCTCACAAACTCATGCCCCTCACTGAACTAATGACTCACCGACCTCACCAGCTCACGCCCCTCGCCGAATTCATAAACTCACGCCCCTCACTGAACTCATCGAACTCACCGACCTCACAAACTCACGCCCCTCACCGAACTCACGGCCCTCACCCAACCTCAAACTCGTGAGTTTTTGAGGCTAACAACCTCACTCACCCTCACCTCACGTCAGATCGGTAAGGGCGATTGATGTCCCTTTTATTTATTTATTCTTGCATATAAATTAGGGTTGCACGAATATTCTAAATTTCGAATAGTAGTTCCGAATAATACACTATTCGATATTCGCTTCGAGAATAACTCCACTATTCGCCTTTTTTGAAGTGTTGATTGCGGTGGCTTAGCCCCGTTGAGTGCGCTTCTTTCTGAGCGGCGGTGCACTGCGGAGAAGCAATACCCGCGGAAGCAAGCTCCGCGGGTGTTGCTTCTCCGCATTACATCGGTGCTCGGTAAGAAGCGCACTCAACGGAGTAACCCGCCGCGATAAACATTTGGAAAAGTATGAATATAAGCAGTTGCGTGCTTGGATGAAAACCATACATTCAAAGCGGCAAAGCGGGATGGTGCACGCGTGCCGGCTGTATATGAAAATAAATGGACACTTTGTGAATGTGTACACTGTAAAACCCTTTATTTCCGGGGCCCCTATTTTTCGCGAATCAGTCACAGGGGACATATCGCACCCACTAAAGATTGCGAATTCCAGAGACCTGCATTGAAATTCTTGAAGACCGAAATTTCCGCGTGCCTTTAAGTTTCGTGGATTTTTCAATTCGCGATATTCATAAAAATTAAGGGCTCGCGAACATTAAGGGTTGTACAGTATCTACATTGTAGTAAAAGTTTTAAAATTAAACTGACTGTTTTGCAAGAGTATATGTTGGGCAGAGATGCCCTTACAACCTGCGTGCATCATGCGGGTGTCATTCTTTTTTAACTCGAAATTAAAGAAAGAATATTTAAGATGTTTAAATTCACTCAATTGCGTATAGTTGGCCATTTCCATTGGATTGATTTTATGTCAAACTTGTTGTTTACTTACCATCCCAAGACATCAGAGCTTCTGAGGTCACAGTTTATAAATATAGATAGATTAAACTTGGCTTATAAATGAACAGGTGGAACAACCTTCACAAGTTTCGCTGGGGTTTTGTCTAAGCATTATATTATGGTAGTGTAAGGCGTGGAAAAACTATACGATATTCGATTCGAAAATATTTCGGCCAAAACCAGTATTCTCTTCGAATTCGCTTCGAACTCAAAATCCACTATTCGCACAAGACTAATATAAATGGTATAATAACCATTCCCTCTGGTGTGTATTTTATTGTTTATGCATATGATACGAGTATGATTATTTCTAATTCAAATGGTGAACATCTTATTAGCAAAACAAATAATGTCCTTTAGAAATTAAAAATCTGGTGTGAAGACAACTCTTTTAATATAAATACTAGCAAGAGCAAGGCTATGATATTTCAACTACACTGAAGAACTCAACTCATCCTCGCCTCTGAAATATGGCGCTGATATTATAAAACATATTGAAAATGTAAAAACTCTTGGTGTATTTTTTTCCTTACAACATGTCTCGAACGAGCATATTAGACACGTTTGCACTAAAGTTTCTAGAATAGCAGGTGTGAAAAATATAGAACCATTTTACCAACACGCGTCAAAATTCAACTTTTTTAATCACTATTTTATCCCACCTTATGCTACGCGCATCTGGTGTGGGGTCTACCGGTATAAAAAATTTAAATATACTCCGGATATTGAGCAAAAAAAAAAAAAAAAACTCTACAAGCCGTAGCAAACGTCCCTTTTACCTTTACATCCTTGTCACACTTTGACAAATACTACATACCTGATGTATCAAAATTTTATTATCAACGATTAATATTAACACTCTAGTCTGCCATGAGGGGAAAGTTCGAAACATTTCTCACCATTGCTGGCCTTCATTTGCACAATTCAATTCGTCAAACCCGTCACATGCATCCCTGGCATATACCAAAATCACGAACAAACTTTAGACGTCAAAGAGTTAAGCGTGCACTTCCCGAGCTACTAAATCATATCGCGTCACTAGAAATTGATGTTATGCCACTGAGCAAAAATGATATACCTAACATTGTATAATACTACTTAAACATACCTCACATTGCATATATTTGTTTGCTTAGTTGTTTTGTTAATTTATGACTCTTATTATTTTTTTTGTATATTCGTTTCCTCTTACGTTGGTGTTGCTTGCCTTGTTGGGGCACCAAGGACTGGTTAAGCTGCAAAAAGCAGCTTCTTTTTTTTGGTTCTCCCCCATCGTTGGAATGGAAATGAAGCAATGTTTCGATGTTTCAAAGTTTCAGGTGAGTGAGTGCAATCATGAGTGAGTTTTGGTGAGGTATAAAACAAGCCTGGAGCTTGACATATGACAGCTTGCGCGGCGGGCTTCGCATCGTTTCTGATTCATTTTTTGTTCGATCGGAGGGAACCCCTGTAGAAAATTGTGTTTTCCTATCACCAGAGTGTAGGACGTGCTGTCACCCAAGCTGTGCACGCGCGCTATTTTTTTTTTTTTTTTGGGGGGGGGGGGGGGGGGGTGGGCGTGGCGCAGCACACGGTCTTGCTAATATGCAGCTTGCCGCTACCGACGTTTCCGTCCTATAGCACGATGCGATAAGTGAGGATGAACTTTCCCTCGGCCAAAGAAGCTAGATCCTGTTGGTTTTATTGAGCTGCAGTGACCGAGTTTCAGTGCCGCCTATTGGGAGGCCTACGGACTACAGTGGGCTCTCCCATAGGGAGCGCTCAGATGACGTGGTTCGTTAGTATAGAGTATAGACCCTTTTCGGTGGCAAACGCCACCAGGCGGTGCTCCAGTCGTTTGTCGCGACGCAACCTTTAACCACCAATCCTTCGGGTGAACACCAAAAGTACGAAGGAGCGCGAGATCCGTTCAAATATTTCGAATATTCTTGTAAACCAACTTGCCTCCTCCGAGACGTTAAATCGCATACAATCAAAGATGCTCGCTAAATCTTTAACTTTTGTTGTCCGTGTAGCATTTATGCCTTCTTGCACTGGTGACATACGCGATAGGCTTGCACAGACGAATGCTGGCGACCAAGACGATGTGCGCGGAAAGACGCTTTCGACGAAACATCGCAAGCCTGTGTCAGCTAGAGGACCGCGAGAACCTTTCAGTGACGTATGTCGACGATGCGCCGTTCGACGAACTGACCGACCTGGGAGGCCAGGGCGCGGCCGATGCCGCTCGAGCCGCCCGTGACGAAGAAGTGCTTGTGGCGGAGGCTCAGGCGCCGCACCCGGTACAGACTCCACAGGCGATGCAGCACCAACAGCGACACGGGCACGGCCAGCGTCAAGGCCGCGTACACCCAGGGGCACATGCCTGCGGGAAGCGCCTCCGATGAGACGAACGACCTCCGGACAGTGTTGGTAATGAACCTAATACCTGACGTAAAGTACAAAGAAAACGGGGGGGGGGGGGGGGGGGGGGGTTATGTACTTCGAGTAAAGTAATAAAAACACCGGGCGCAACTCACTCGAAGTAAAGTCCTATAAATACAGTGTACTTTCGAAGTAAACTACAAGTACTTCTTAGCACAATCTTCCATGACGCCCTTTCATTCCACCGTACAGTTTTGTTTTAACTGCTTTACACTGCCTCAGGGGTAAGCGGGGGGCGCATCAGTTATTTTCCGAAATTGTGGCGAATATTAGATAAGGTGAAATGGCTTGCGAGTTGACAGAGCATCATTTCGTTATGCAAATTCAACGAGAGTAAATTTGAGTAATGTACTCTGAAGTCGAGAGTTATACCTTCCTCGGAAAGTACCAGGAAAAACTACTTTAAGTAGGAGTATATGCTCAGAAAATGTGTTTCAAGTACAAATATTCTAAACCTCCTTGAAGTAGTGCTTTAAGTACAATGTACTTAAAATGATGTCCAACACTGCCTCCAGACATACCTGTGGAAGCACAGCTTCTACCTACCTCCACAGTGCAGACCAAGGCACGAGCCTAGCTTAGCAGAATGCTTTCGTTTGTACGAGAACTTGTGCACATAAGGCTTTCCAAAGCCAATTGTACTCGTGCCTGCATCAGCACTCTTTGTGAGAGGGAGAGAGAGAAAAAAACTGTCTACGAATTGAGGTCGTAGTTTCCTTTTTGGGCGATGCCCTTAGTCCAGGGCTCCGTTGGCTTCTGCCAACGGAGCCCCGGAGTTGTCCTTCTCGGAGACAGATTATTTCGCTTAATAAAGTGGCACAAGCGCTCATAGCGCCATCTTTTGTGTTTTACCAAAAATCAGGCCTAGGTAGACGTCCGCCCATAGAGACAATTTGTTCTTGTTTTTTGTTCTTTGCTCTTGATTTAGGCAACATCATGTTATGAAACTTGCACATCTTATCACCAACGTCATACCCCCAGCTTCAGCGTTCTGCGATGAGTATAGTTTGTTTTTGAGGGTCGAAAAACTGAGTGTCTAACATATTTTCTTAATTCTGGTGTAGTGCAGTCATATACACATTTCTGAATCAATAAAACACGTTCAGCCTTTCCACTCTCGTGAGGAAGGAAGACCAGCGGAGTTGTACTCGATACACTGTGTACTTCTTCGTCCTCGTCTGTTTCTCGCGCTGTTTCCTACGATGAATTTCCACCAACGCGCCCAACTATCCCTTCTTCTATTATTGCTGGAAAGGTTGGCGCCATCTACGAGCGACGGTGGAAACCATACTGGTTGTGTGCTTGCCGCCGTCACTTATAGATGGCGGTAGCTGTCCAGGTAGGTTTGTGTCGACATACCGGACACGATCCTGGGGAACCTAGCCCTTAACAGCTCCACTGTAAAAATACTTTTTCAAAATACTTTTGTTTGCGCGTCGCAAGCATCAAGTTGTCGGTAGTTGCCGGTGATAGTTGCCAAGTCGAGTGCAATGTCGTCCCGTGCTGAAAATCGCAGTCGCGAGGATGCCACCGACTTCGCACTCACGACGCCGCCAAAGCTACCGCAGACGTGGTCCTGGGAGCCGCCATTTTTTAACTGTGCTCGTCTTGGCTTTAGCCAACTTCTCATCACGAATCCTCCTTGAAGGAGCGCAAAGACTCTTTCCGTACGCACGCAATTTCCGAAAAACAGAGTACGCTAAAATAGCGCAAGCAAAGCGCGAAACGTGGTTAGCGTTCGGCGCATGCGCAGTGGTGACGACGCTATTCTTGGTGTACACAAAGCTTGAGCGTGCGCTATTCTGAAACTCCCTAATATTTGCAATAATGCGCAGAAACCGGAAACTAGACAATGTGCTCTGATAAACTGAGCAAGAGACACAGCAGACGCTAAAGGACAATCATGTAGATAGTCTATCTTCTCGTGTCGCGAACTTGGAAGCTGATCTGGCTTTCTCCAGACAGTGATAGAGCTACCATCGCCGAGTCACAGAAGCACGCTGCGTCGGCGCAGAAAGCCTCTCGCGCCGACGTAAACTGTTATTTTATGGTCTCGATACGATATGCGTAATCACAAAACTGAGCGAACACGTTCCCTTGGTGCTTCCAACGCTTTGCAAAGTTTTGTTCCTTCACCAACCGGCAGTTAACGTTCTCTTCGTCGGCTTCAAGCTTGTGTGGTTTTGGACACCGGACCGAGCTCTTATTGTGATGTCTTACGACGGGAGAATACGCAGGCGATATACGATGTGTGATCAAAAAGTTCCGGAACTGATTTCGTAGCGTAAAATGAGAGGGCAGCACAGTGATGCGCGCGCAGCAGTCGAAGGCAAGGACCTTCCCGTGTCATTATACAAGTCAAAGGGCGCCGCTCTGGAAACATTTTAACTGTGCTACAAAAATGTGACCCCATGAAAAAGCACAATGGCAATCTTTCCATAGACTGCAAACCAAAACGAGAGCGAACGTCAATTTTACGTCAAAGTCGGCAAATCTAAAACAGACCTCTGAAACGATTTAGAAAGCTTATGCCAAAAAGCAGTAAGCTGTCCGAGATGTCTTGAGTGGCACTCGCGCCTCAAGAATGGCAGACGTCACTAAAGTCCACAAGAGGTCGGATCAGGTCGCCCTCCCGCTTTTCGTGTTCCAGCGATGTTCTGCCGTTCCTGAAGCGCGAGTGCCACTTAAACACTTCGCAAAATTCGCGGCTTTTTGACACAAGCCTGCTGATTCACTTCAAAGGTCTCTGTTTTATATGTGCCGAGTTTGACGCAGAATTGATGTTTTCTCTCGCTCTGGTTGGCAGTTTATGGTGAAATCGCCATTGTGCCCGTGCACGTGGTTACAACAACTCGTGTAGCGCCGCCCCAAATGTTCACATAGCGACGCCCTTTGGTATTAGAGGCGAGATGTTTCAGTGGCACCCTCGTATGGTCCCCTCTCGAGACGTCATTAACTTCTGAACAACAAGTTCTATGGTGTTTGTAATGTAAAGGCGGCGCTTGTCCCTTCCCCCACCAGTTCTCAGAGTGGGGCGGCAAGGCATGTGTTTTGCCCCCCCCCCCCCCCCCCCCCCCCTCCCCTGAAACGGCCGCCACTGGGCAGGGCAAACACTGGCCGGCGGCGCCCAAGGAATACGAGGGGCGCCGCCCCCCCAACCCGCGCGGGCATATTTTTACGCGCAGCCCATACAAACCCTAGCAACGGCGCTCACGCCGAATTGGCTGGTTCGTGGAGATAGGCGCTGCCGCCGTCAACATAGGCAGCGGATACAATGCGAGTTTCTGAAGAGGTAGCGTAACTGTGTGGTGAGATGTCTGCCTCATACGTATGAGGCCCGGGTTCTATCTATGGTGTGGGCTTACATCTCTTATTATTTTTCCTCGAACATTTTGTTTTGTTGAGGCCTTTGGCGATATTTAGGACATTTCTTTTTAGCGATTAACACTAAGAAAAACGAATATTGTTGAAGAAACGTCGCTGAACTAAATTGTATGGGTCTCTATTTACGGAAGTGCAAGGGGGACAGCGGGGCTTGGGTTGCCGACTGGACGCCGCAACGCGGCGTGTACAGGGGGGGGGGGGGGGGGGGGGGGGGGGGGGGGGACTAAGTGGGTAAATAGGGTGTATCTCAAAACGTCCCATTCGCATTTGAACCTTGCACATTTCGTCCCATTCTCATTTGGTCCTTCTCGTTTGAACCTTCTCATAAGATCCAAATCGTGTTTTTCGCAACTGGGCCCATTCTCATTTTGCCCGTTATCTGAAAACGTCCCATTCGCATTTTGACCGAGCGCATTTCGTTCCATTCTTATTTGGTCCGCCTTGAACCGTCTCATAAGATCCGAATTGTACTTTTCGCAACTGGATCCATTCTCATTCCGCCCGTTCGCACTAAGTCCGAATGGCACTAGTTCGGCATGCTTCTAACGTCGTCATGCCTTCGCGGTTTTGTTGA